ATTATTTTATTTTTGAAATTACAATGTCAATTATTTAGAGAAAGTATGGTAGTACATACATGTATGTATACTTGTACATGTATTATGTGTTTGTTACTATTATTATTAAATGTTCCTTCAATTTAATCAAAAGCATGGGCAGTTTGACCTTTGACTCATGCTTGACACTAGACTAGAACAAAATTCAACTTGAGGGTTATGCATATAATTTGAGGACTAGCAGAAATATTGTGAATCACCTTATAGCAAGGAAACACTGTACAGTGTACATACATGTACATGTATGTTTCCATGGATACATACACATGTAATATAAAGTACATGTACATGTTAATTGTAGGAATAGCTTAATTGTTGTACACTGACTGACTCTCAACATTGATACACTATCCTTTGTATTGTACTGGTACTTGTACATGTACCTGCTCATTAGTAATTGGGCTAGCAAAGCACCACTCTGTATGTATTGCATCTCCAGTCAGGCTCATCTTCTCGCCACGCCCCATGTGTGTACTACTGGGTATTATCTAATGTGGTAGAAGTAATATTATAAAAACACATGTCAGTGACTTAAAGAAGACAAGATTTTCTAATTTTTATTGCTGCATTGTTCTTAATCTTCAATCATATCATGAGTAGTACCAAGAGTACATACTGAAGATAGGAAGTGTTTCTGTAATGAACATATGACATCATGACAAGCTATACTACCATACAGTTGGTAATATTTGAGGGCCTAATATTTCGTGTTTTGTCCAAAATTTCCTTAGAAGTTAATATTTGTGGCTGGCAGTTAGCACTTCTGATCTACAGCACTAGCTTCCAATGTGGCTTATTGTGGAATATGGAGCATATTTATGTGTGGGGGCAGGGGTTAAACTTTTGCAGATACAAATTAACTGTGAATTTAATGAAAATTAATACTCCACGAAATTTAGCCATGCCACCCCTGTGGGCTGGTTGGATAAAAAAAGATAAGGATGTGAGATAAGGATGAGACTTAATTTCACAGGTTATTAGTCGCCCAATATGTGCCATTTCAGGATCTTAAGTCGTGAGTCTTTCAGCCCTTGGGAACCCTAAGAACCTGGTTCTTCCTATAAACCCAATGGCATACCAAAGCTAACCACAATGACGTTTTGTGATGTCTCAGTTTACATAGAGCAAGTGGTCACACAAATTGACTTTAAAAACTAATAGAGTAGATCTTTTGATAATGATGGCCTTTATGAAGACTAGTTGACTCCAGTAGCTATTGTACTGCTTATCAGGAAGAGCAAGACTGGTTTAAGAGTGAAACAACACAGCCTTAATACTGGCCATGTCTCTATGAGTATCATTATAATATGTCATTAGTGACATACATGCCATAGACACATTTTTCAAATTCCTCACAGCTGCTTCCACTTCTGGTCCAAACTCAGTTGAACGTAGTATAGCAGGAATAAAAGGATTACATTCGGCTATTAACTGTACATGTACATGTACAGTGTAGCTATGCCAACGTACAATGTAGTCTGCCATTACAGAATTTATTAATTGTTGGCTGGTTCAAAAATTAATCATACTACATGTACATGTACATGTAGCTACAGCTTAAAAAATAATACATT